ATCCCGATTTTCTACCAGCAGCGAAGTACTCGTCAGGGCGCTGGAAATAGAAGCTGCATTTAGCGCCATTCCTAAACCGAAAATAGGCTCGGTATCGGTTGAGGAACAGCCAAAGAGTTCTCACATACGTTTGGAGGAGATGTTTAATAAACTATGTGAATTACTAGTGAACAAGAGAGTCAACAACACCCAGACAGAGAACCAGAGAAGATCCCAGGATATTAGGTGCTATAGATGTGGCAGGAATGGCCATATCAAACGGGATTGTCGCATCCAAATGCGATTCCATTCACCATCCAGAGAACATCGGCACATCGGAAGATCCCAGGACATAAGTTGCTATAGATGTGGCAGGAATGGCCACATCAAACGGGATTGCCGCGTCCAAATGCGATTCCGTTTACCATCGAGAGAACATAGGCACCAGGAAATCAACACTAATGAGCGAGTATTGGCTGAAGAAAACAGAGCCCCTAGGATGTTTTCCGTTAGGAGTCTAGGAAAAACCGCTGAAAGTTTGGTGATCAACGGGAAGGTCAATGGTAGAAGAATTCGAATGACTGTGGACACAGGCGCTATGGTATCATTGGTGCGGACTAACTCAGTGCAAGGATTGAAGATGATGCCTCTTAGAAGAAGAGTGTACTTACGTACAGTTACGGGGGAAATGGCCGTTGTACGGGGAGAGGCTTTCATGGAATTGGAGTTAGGGAATTTGAAGTTTCGGCATAGCGTTTTAGTGGCAGACATTGAAGATGATTTTATCATGGGTATGGATGTGATCAGTCAACATGGTTTTTCGTTTGATCACCATAGAAACATCCTGAAAATCGGAAATGAGGAATTTTCTGTATCTAAAGAGAAGAGACCAGGAAATATGGAAGAAAGATCATCGAAAATTGTGATGATACCTGGTGATACCAAGAAGACTGTGTTCGGGAAACTAGAGAAAACCGTTGGGTGCCGTGTAGGACGGGTACAAATTATCGACAACGAACCGGATCGACGACGAGCTACCTTGGGCAAGAAAATGCAACATCGCGAAAGCACTATCAGAGTAAAGAATTTTAAACTGAGAACTGACGAACAATGGACGACGATACAATTGAGGAAAGATCAAATGGAAGATCCAGACATCGGAGCAATACTACGGCTCAAGGAAGGTAACGGCGAGAGACCACCGTGGCAGGATATTGCGGACAGAGGGCTCGTTTTCAAAACTCTCTGGGCTCAGTGGAATTCACTGGTGATTGAGAATGGATTGTTAAAGCGCACGTGGGAAAGTGCGGATGGCAGGACAGTAACAACTCAGTTACTGGTACCAAGGAAGAAAGTTACCCAGGTATTGGAAGAAATTCATGGTGGTAAAACTGGAGCCCATCTTGGGGTAAACAAGACCTTGAGCAAGCTGAGAGACCGTTTTTACTGGGTGGATTATTGTGAAGATGTTAAGAAATGGTGTCAACGTTGTAAGATTTGCGCAGCTAGACAAGGACCAAGTACTCGATCTGGAGGAAAAATGAAACAAGATAACGTTGGACTGTCGTTCGAAAGAATCCTTAGGAAGGGAAGATTACTGGACGTTCATAAGCACGTTAGAAGTAAGATTGCGCTAGCCAGTGACCGGATGAAAGCTCGTTACGACCTCAGAGCTAATTCTACGGGATTTCAACAGGACGATAGGGTATGGTTGTATAACCCACAGCGCAAGAAAGGAAGGTCCCCAAAGTTAACTCCAGCATGGGAAGGTCCTTATACAGTCATCAAGAGGATAAATGATGTTGTGTACCGGATTCAACGCAGCCCTAGAAGTAAGATGAAAGTAGTTCATCTGGATCGATTGAAGAGATACCAGACAGGAAACCTTGATCGGGACGATCAAATTTGAGAAGGGGGCAATGTCAAGGTGTATTACTGGTTGCATAACTGCATACTGCTAAAAAGTCGCGGCGTGCCTTGAGGAACCTGGCGCATTCGCCAGAAAGTAAAGAAAATTATAGAATTCTTTAGAAAAATCTAGAAACAACCGCCAGGGGGTATATAAGGCCCGCGCTTTGACAGTTGGATACGTCTGAAGTTTGAAAATACCGCGAAATAACGTTAGAGTAATAATAGTTGCATAAGTTGTGTTGTAAATAGTATAAGTTGTGTACAGAGTGAAACAAATAAATTCGTTAAGTATTTTATCGTGAGTTTAAATAGTGGACCCACGGAATACGTAACAATATTGATACTTGATATTTCGAGTCAAATTGTCGTTATGAACCGCGTGTTACAATTGCAATTAAACCTTATGCGAAAATGTCAAAAGTTGACATATGATATGTCATTCTATTCAGAGTGTCATTTTCTATCGAATAAAGTAGAGATATACCTAGGGTGCTACTTAAAAATCAGAAGTTATAGTAATTTCCGGTGAAACAGGATGTGGCCAAAAACAATTGAATGCGTCAATCAATCCTAATTTATGTCATATACTAACATACCAAATCTTATTTCTTTAGTAGAAAAAATAAAAAAATGATGGGGGTGAGCCACTTTTGGGACGCAGCCGGTTAAGTTAGGCTAGTTATAATAAAGACAGTACCGGGGTTAAATAAATGTAGTTTTCATTTATTATTATCCACTTCCTAAAAGCTTGATTTAATGAAACAAATCTAATTTACATAATAAGACATCACTTACCAGAAAAAAAAATTACAACAATCATGAAGTTTTTTCTCTTTCCATGTCGCCGATTCTATTATATCTATAGAATAGATCCTGTTTTGATTAATATTAGGGTTGTAAATGTTTGACTAAAATTAATAATTAATTTATTAATTTCAAAAATTAAATAGGTAATTTCGATTATATATATATTAATTTTTTTTCTATAAAATGTATTTTATTATTTTTATCGCTTTTGGACGTTTTTTTTTTCTAAACTTTTATTTAAAAAACCTCTCCCAAATCTTAATAAAATATAAAAAAGTTAAATACGATATATTTTTAATTGAATTATAGCTTCATTAAAATAAAAAATATACCCGGCTATGGTACGGAATGAGGAACGAAAGACAGTGTTGCATTCCTCGTCAGAGTCGTCAGGGAACGACCGTTACGACGGAGACAACCTATCTATCGCTCGTGTCTCACTCGTTAGAGCCTAAAACAATAACACAACAAAGACATTGTCTGACCGCATCTTCCCGCTATTTATGAATGAGATGCTCAGTCTATATTTTATTTTAAGTCTATGTTTAGAAATATTGCTAACTTCTTTTCAAATAGGGTTAACTATTAACTCTGTACTATACAGTAAAACCCTTAAGATTATAGTGGTTAATCTATTTAACTACAGACTACAGCCACGCAAGAATTTTTGTAAATTGGTCTATATTCTGTTATTCATGAGTAATGGATCATAATAACTTATTGACTAATCAAAAAGTTCCATGAGTTTATGATCAATCAAAAATTATATTTTTATTAAGCGTGTATCTAAAATGTTAATTACAAGTTTTCATTTATAAAATTACAAAATTCCTTAAAATACTTTGTGTAATATAATGTCTAATCCATTAAAAAACGTCTAACTTCGTCGTTCCTAGCGAGCCTAGCGCCATCTGTATTATTCATGAGCTGCGGCCGTTATCAGATTATGTAAACTAGGTAAACTAGGCCTTTAGTTTGTTGTTTTCGTCTGACACTTAGAAAATTACGACTTCATTGAATTAAATTATCAAAGAAAAGGAAATAGAACGTAGAAAAAAAATATAAAAAAGCCCTACAAAAAATGTAAAGTCTCAGTGAGGATGCGATGATGATGCTTTAGGTAAAACTGCAGCCATTTTGGAATAGTATCTGGAATATTATCATACATGAAGGAGCATTACTGTTAAAAAGGCACAAACGTCAACATATTTTAAATATTATTAACAGCAAGTTAGATAAAAAAAGTACCAAAGTGCTGAAACGAAATCTTAAATCAAAAAGTACGAGTTAATTGCTATTAAAATTATAAAACTAAAATTAAAAAATGACAAACCTGCTTTATGATTTCATGTAGTTGCTTTATTTTTATTTGTTAAATGCAATTATCTCTTTGCTTCTTTATGCTTGGTTTGATATTCAACTGCTTCAAACACTTGAAACTTGAACACTGAACGAAGAATTTATAAAGGAAGTGCAGGTTAACCCTCAAAAGGTAATGGTTAAGTAATATGCTGGTGAAATTTATGGATTACAAAAATTAACAATATTGCATACCTACACGAGTTGTAAAAAGGGAAGCTCTGATCTAAAATGGGACTACGAAATTAAAAAAAAAAAACAGGAACCGAATAGTTATCAAACACTACTACAACTGAACAAAATTATTGGACGAAAATCGCCACCGCATCACGATAACTGACGATAGAATAAAGTAATAAATGAATAAGATCAATTAATATAGATATAAGATAAATTAATAAATGAATAAGAGAAACAATTTTTTTTCTGGTATCATTTAAGTAGGTACATTAAGAGAAGACATATCTGTAAATAATTAGGTAATGGATAATGCTTTTTAACAGAAAAATAAAGGGAATAAACCTCAATTCCCAACTCATATGTAGGGTACTAGGGTTACAGCCATCCTGCTTTTATTGTGTTGCTATGTGTGACGTCACCAATCAGACTTAAATTTGCTTTAAAGCTTAAAAACAGCAAGTGTTGCTGGGGTGAAATTTAGAGCAGGATGCAACAGGGGTATGGAACAAGTAAGGAACCAGTTTTGCCAATCCTGCTTCTCATATGTGTTGCCAACTGGGAAGTCAGCAACCAAAATAAAAGTAACTATAGCTCAAAATTGGTAGGTGTGGCTGGGTTGGGATTTGAAGCAGGATCGTATTTTATAATTCCTGCTTTCAATGAGTTGTTAACTTCCCCGATCTGACCTTTAGAACCTTCTGGTTCCTCTGTTTGGGAAATATGCAAAAATAAAATATTGTTGATTTTCAAATTCTGCAACATACCTGCACTTTCTCCTGTTCCCGGCGTTCCTGCCCTCTCGTCCCGGTCCTCCTTCCTCGCCAGTCCCAAAATGTTATCAATCGTGTGCCTCGGACCCGCTGCCGCACCACCACCCACCACCATCTTCAGCGGCTTGGTACCGGTGGCCTCATCCAGGCCGACGAACCCGAGGTACCCGGCCGTGTCTTCCACGCACCTTTCCGCGTCCATGACCCGCGATCGACTAAGCCCTCCACCCGTGACGGTGGGCGGCGGTAACAAACCCCTGGGGCGTGGCCTAAATTACACCCTCCGCCAATCCGGCAGCTCGCGGGTCCATGATGGCGGGCGAGGGGCGTTGCGCGCGCACCCTCAGGGAGCCGTTTCTGTGATTGCGTCCGGGGAAATTGCGTTAAAATAATATTGTGGCGGGGATAGCGGGGGTTCGGATGGAATAGCTGGAGGGATGATGGAGGGGGGGACGGTTTTGGAAACTGGTAATTAGGGATGACGGTGTGTTTGTTGCAGGAACGGCGGCGGGGTTCGTTATGCGTTAAATCGGCGGGATGTTTGCGATTTGGGAAGGTGGCGTGCGGCTGTGTGTCTGTGCGAGATTGGAGTGTAATTTTGAATATTGCGTCTTTAATCTGGAGCTACCTTTTGAGGGTTTCTTTGGTTGGCGGATAATCGCTTATAAATACTGGCGGTTATTAGGACGAGAGCGCTTCCTTTCGAATAAGTTTTGGGTTTTGCGTGTACTAATTTAACTTTCTTAGTTCCGGTTTAGATATATTAATGTTTCTTGAATTTTATAAATTACACACCTATACTTAATTAAAATAAGAAGACTTTTCATTATACTATCTACTACAAAATATAATACTTATACTTAGATAATTAGAGTACCCTGTACTTGAGTACCTATATATTCTCTTGAATTCCATTTAAACCAAGTGAGGAGCAGACTTACTAAATGCATTTTGTCAATTTTTTTAAAGATTTTCAAGCAAAGGTGACTTTCAAACTACATACACAGAATTACAATATGATGCCAGGAATAGTGTTGACAAGAGTCTTGAAAAAGTCTTGCAAGACCAAGACTCTTGCAAGAAATTCAAGACGAGACTTTCAAAATTTCTTGTCTTGAATTTCAAGACAAGACAAGACTTTAGCACAAATTACCTATAACAGATGCGAAAGAACACCGAATTACGCGTTCAGGTTTTTGTGACCTTCAGAAAGAGTTCATAGACAATCCGCATCAATGTATAGTTTGGGTTGTTATTTGTTTGGGTGAAAATAATCTGCACCAATATGTTATCGAGGCATACAAAAAGATCCACAGACTTCGAGACATACGAAAAATCAAGTCCATTTAGCGTGTGTCTATAGCAACTGCAGCGACTATGAAAAAAGCTGTGTGATTTTCATAGAAAATAAGGGCACCTGTAATTCATTTGAGAATGTTATAAATCGCTAAAAGAGGTTTCAAATCTCTTGGATTTCTATTAATATTAAATAAATTTTATTAAAAATTGAACTAAAATTGTTAGTATCATTAAAAACAATTCAAACTCAAAATTGTATCAGTCAAATTCCCTCATTTAAGGTGAATATAAAGTAAATATAAATACAGCTCATTCTAAGCTCTACTTATCTTTAAGAAAAATTTAAATCATTGTTGCAATTGGGCCTTAATGCCATTTCGAATGAACAATAGTATTAATAATGTACATTATAATAATAATAAATTTTATATCATAGTGTGTATTAAAACTACTAAAACACTTTTAAATTGGTATTATATTAACAACTTTTGTTTTTTAATCCAAAAAAAAGTTACCAATTTTCTCAATCAAAATATTTGTGGTCCTGAAAAGGACCTTCGTTTTCCCATGTTCGTCAAGGTAGGTAATGGGTAAACGGTAAAAAAACAGGATAATGAAATTTAAAAAATTACAAAAATTGTTCAAAAGTGCCTCCCTCTTGCATTAAACAATAACCCAAACGATCATAAAATCCCCTCCTCACATTGGATAACATATCAGGGGTGACAGTGTCAAAGGCATTAAATATTTTCTGCCTTAACTGCTCCAAGTTTTGAATTTCTTCATGGCCGTAAATTTTAGATTTTATGTACCCCCATAAAAAGAAATCATTCACCGAGAAGTCAGGTGAAATTAAACGTCAGTCTAAACAAAACTGTCATTTTTGAAAACTTGTCAAAATTTGGACACACGCTAAATGGACTTGATTTTCCTATGTCTCGAAGTCTGTGGACTTTTCTGTATAATCTCACAGTAATTTAATAGATTGCTCGTCATATTATATCAGCTCGTAGGAGATTAGGAAAAAAAAAGATATTTATAGTATAAAAAATTAATTTATTTAACAAAATTTAATTAAAGATGTGACAAAATAGTTACATTTCTATTGGTTCTATCGGACTTTTTTCGAGTATATAAATCTTTATTTTTTGTAAACTTTAATGCATAAAATATTTTCAATCTAATAAATAATTTAATGATGTAAATAAGAGGAAATTTCTCACATGGGTGGTCAAATTCTATAGTTTTCATCATATCAAACAGCCTCTAAATGTTTTCTTCAGTGCAAAACTCATCAAAATTTAATATAAATAATTTTTCCAGCCTGTAAATAAAATGAACAAATTTTTCCACTTTCATGATCAAAGGCTTTTAAATGGGTAAATAATTTCGAGTTATCCAGAGATTCGGATTCTTTTGCAAATTTTAGACAAATATCACATTGATGTATTTGAAGACCCTTTTTAATGATGTAGTCAAACTTAATTAAAGGCATTTTGAGTTGAAAACATTTCTCAGAGGCTGTTTGATATAATGAAAACTATAAAATTTGACCACCCATGTGAGAAATTTCCTCTTATTTACATCATTAAATGATTTATTAGATTGAAAATATTTGCTAAATAAATTAATTTTTTATACTATAGATATCTTTTTTTTTTCCTTATAAATAAACACATTTGCATCCCATTTTAAATAAGATATACAAATTACCAAAAATTAGAAATAACAGTTCAAAAGTTCAACAAAAATCCTACACGCGTTTTTAAAAAGAAACATATAACCACGCACTATGTCATTCCAGAAAGCGAATGCGACACAGCATAGGTTTCCGTACTAAACGACTGGTGTATTTACACCACTCAATAGGCGTGTCGGGTTTGCCGAGCGGTTTCCGATGCAGTCGCTTTCTTTCGCATCTGTTATAGGTAATTTGTGACTTTAGTATGCAAGAAATTTCAAGAGTCGTGCAAGATTTAGAAATGATACATTATTTTAAGTGATAATTAGGCCTTTGCGCAAGTGATGCCGGGTTTATACAACATTTACATAGTCGTAATCATAATCATAGTCATAATCATAAAAGTTAAACTATCCACTTCTTAGAAACCTGTTGACATCTACCATGAACTTAGCCCTTAATTATGTTACCCAACTTCACTGATATAAAAATTATGATTATGAAAATGTTCTATAAATATAAAACGCATATTAAAATTGCGTTGTGATTATGACGATGATTAAGACGAATTAAATGACGAAATTACCTTGGACTTACTATGGGCTGGTATGTCCATTGGCGGTAGACAAACAAACAGAAGTATGTTCTTGTTTGCTGTGGACATACTGCTGTTTGTTTGTCATTGTTAGATGAAGATTAATTAATTTTTCATGTCAAAAAACTTCCAGACACCAATTTTCATCCAAATATTACGTTACTTCAGAAATTGTTTGGAAAAAAATCGCCGATGTATCACCCTGTATCTCCGAAACTAAGCATTTTAGGACATACATTTATAGGAACTTTTTTTTTATTTTTATCTGCAGAATATGCTGCCGAAGTTTTCGGAATACAGTTCGGACCACCCTGTAGGTACAGGGTGGCGCCTCTTATACGCCGCGGAAGCTCCAAGGAGAACGGAACTTTATATCGAAATGAAATTTTGGCAGCATATGTAGGTTAACTGAAAGCATTTTATAAAAATATATAGAATTATATCGGGTGTCTCCAAAAAAAGTTACACATCAAAGTTATGTTTTTTTCTAATGGAACTATTAATTGATTTTCGGATTCTAGGAAAAAAATAAAGGTGAGTTTTATTAAAGAAGCATATACCTAAAATCTAAGATTTTTGACATATTTTACATTTTGTGAAAATGAAGAGTACTAAATTTTTAATTTCTATTACAGCTACCTATATTTTAGTTGACCTTGTATAGCCTGATATTTAATTACAGTAACCATTGTATGTAAAACCAAATTGAAATTTTACCAGAAAAGTTATACAGGATGAGACAAAATTAATATGGAACATTAGTCGCTTTTAAAAGCAAGTTACTCCTTTATTTTAAATGGAACACCCAGTATATATTTCCGGTGTTTAATGGGGAATTTATATATCTACGAAATATTATTAACATTACCCCTTAGACAAAGATTTTCCTTGATATTTTATTTTTTATGATTTTGCGTCAGTAGATCTTTATTATTTGAAAAAATCTAGGTGGCTGTGTGATATACCTTTTGTTAACGTTAATTTAACAAAAATTAAAGATTGTAAAGTAAAATACTCTACGGTAATAAAAAGGTACACGTTTAAAACATATTTTAATTATTACAGAATTAAAACTAGATATAAACCTATAATTATGTGACAAAAATTAGCAAGATGAAATCAAATGCTCAAAATGCTTTCCTGTTAACTGCATAAAATGATTGTCTTTTCAAAAGGATCTTTTTATTTTAAAAGGCATATGTGGAGTTCTACCTTGAAAAGCAGCTACAATAATTTCTCTCATGTTGTCGACAATAGTTGGTCGAGTTTTGTAAACACTGTCTTTAACATATCCCTATAAAAAACACACTTGATAAAATCAGGAGCATTTACGTATTCTATTAATTGGTGAATGCACACTGTATTCACCAACTAATAGAATTTTATCATTCTCTGTGATGTAGGATAAGTTTGCATTTTCGGCAAATTTCTGAGAATTTTTTTTGTTTTAACTAACACAAAATGATAACTAGTTGTTAAAGTTGGACTAATTAGATAGTTATGTTGGAGTAATGTCAGGCATATCACAGCCACCTAGATTTTATCCACAAACAATAATGATCAAATCATGTAAATGAAAATATCTAGGAAAATCTTTGTTTGAGGGGTAGGTAACCTTAA